GCCCAGATGAAGCGTTCTCTTGGGTACAAGCCGTGTGTGCTAAGGATCAGTCTTTGGAAGGTTTGCGGGACCCAGGCAAGTTTCTCACGTTAGATACTAAACTGCTGTCCGCAATTTCCAAGGTGGTGAAAGGCGAGCTAGCACGCCAGATCGTAAGCTACAAAGAATCAGAAGCTGCTCATGCAAGGGCTGTACGGGGCCGTCAGGTGCTTTACATGTTTGAGCAGTACTTTAAGACTAACGAAGAGGTTGGGGCCCTCTACTCGGTCGAAGACCTTCTCAAGGTCAGCTTGATCAACGATGACTTGAGCTCCTTTATTCACAATTGGGAGTCAGTTATCGCAGGTATTTCTCATGTTCCAGAGGAATTGACGCTCAGGGATATCTTGTTTAGGCAGATTCGAGGCTCCCACAAGCTGAAGTATGATCTGGATACGTATGACCGTGCTAAGGAAGGTACCGAAACGCATAGCTACCAGTTCCTCCTCAGTTCCATCAAGAATCTCCTCACCCGTGAGCGTGTTAGGAAGAACAGGGACAAGATAGCTAAGGTGCATGGTGCTAAGTACGGTGCCCCAGCTCCGGAAGATGGCAAGGGCAAAGGCAAAGGTGGTAGGAAAGGTAGAGAACCATCCAGGCAGCGTGAGTCCAGTCAGGTCCCAAAGGGGTATTGCTTCACATGGGTTAAGACAGGTAAGTACGAGAAAGGCGCTGATTGCAAGTAGAAGCATGAGAAGCCGAGGGGAAACTGCCCAGGTCGTGGTAGAACTAATTCCCCAAGAGATCTTTCAAAGGTACCATGCAAGTTCCACAAGATTGGACGCTGTACTGAAGGTGCCAACTGTAGGTTCTCGCGCAGCAAGCCTGCTTCGCCAGCAAAAGGTGACAAGCAGAGACCCCCGTCTCCCGCCAAGCGCAGGAGGAGCAACAGCAGGAGGAAGAAGAAGGGTGATAAGCCAGCAGCGTGTTGCGTCCTAGTAGCAAGGGTCGAGCCAGAAGCCACCCGCGAGGGCGCCCGCAAGGGTGAGCCCACTTCCTCTGACCGCTGGGAGCACAAAGCCAAGGAAGGAGTCCTCATCCGCCATCACGTCACTCCAAGGTCAGACGGGTTCACTCCGGCTAAGGATTCGCCAGTGCCTGTCTCTCGGCTTAATGCTAAGGCTGTGGTTGTCATGAGCCTTGACCCTGAGGGAAGATCAAGTGTTGAGAAAACCTGGGATTGGAGGTCCGGCAAGTTTGATTCAGGCCTCGGGGATGTTCAGTGGACGGGATCTACTACCTTCAAAATCCAAAATAAAAAGAAGAAGTAAGAAGAAGGTTTCGTTCATCAACAAACCCGAGATCGAAGAGATTCCTGCTGAGGGTGAAGGATGGAGGCATATCCCGTCCCCAAGTCTGAGGATCAATCGCTTCAAGACAGCGCAGGAATGCCCACAGGGTGACCCCGAAGACGTGGCTATTTCTCAGTCAGTAGCCAGCAACCTCCACATTGCAGTCACGAATCAGCTCAATGGGTACGTGCCTAACTGTAAGTACAAGTGCAAGAATGATTCAGGAGTTTGCAAGCACTGTTGTGTTGATCTTCAGTCCAACAACCAGCAGCCGCAAGCTCCCGCGTGCCCAGCGTCCACACCTCTTGAGGTTATCGCTGACACTGGTAGCGAGAAGATTTGATCAGTAAGTACAACCGTCGTGTGTACTTCCCAAAGACCCAAGAGACCAAAGCTGAAAACCCCGTATATCTCCAAACCGCAAACGGTCCAATTTTGGCCGATAAAGTTGCTAAGGTCAACTCCCCTGAGCTAGGATCAGACCTTTCCCTTTTCACGTTAGGAGACTCTCCTACTGTGTGTTCGGTTGGTCGCAAGTGCCTTGAGCAGGGATTTGGATTCTATTGGCCGCCAGGGGAAGCGCCGTACTTCGTCCGTCCAGATGGTAAGCGAGTCAACTGCCGTCTCAGGGGGCGAGTTCCAGTGTTCGGAAAGGACATGTTCGCCAGCGCAGGACCTGCTGTTGGTGAAAGCGAAGGCGCAGAGCAACACTACGCTCCTACTCTTGTGAAGCCAGTTTTTCGCGAGTAAGCTACCCTCACGGGTACGCCTCAGCTGTCAGCGTAGAGTCCGAAGAAGAACAAGAAATGGAAGAACTCGATCTAGAACTTGTCGCGGCGTTAGGTCTTCCTTCTCCGGTGGAAGGAGTTACAAGGGAGATGCTCGGCAAAGTTGGTTGGGTTGCGGGCTTACCCGGAAAAGCAATTAAGATTGCGCATCGTCCAAAGGTGTTTCGCGCACCTGCTCCCAAATATCCCCGACATTGAATCCGCGCGACGTGGGCTGTCAGGGGGGCGAATGGGTTTGCCTAGAAGACTCCGTAGACATTGCTGAACTCGGGAACTCCAAGGCTGAGCTTGAGGAAGGAGTTATCATGACCATTACCATTTTCAATCTTCCCGAGGGCGAAGAGGAACCAGTTCCTGACAGTGATCGCGAGGCAGACCCTCCAGATGGGGGTAAGCCTACCTCAAGATCCAGGTCCGAAGAAGAGCTTAGGAAAGAGGCAATCTCTCCCGAGCATCTCTTTTCCCATCGTCCTAAGAACCCTTTTTGTCCTGTGTGTCAGAAGGCAAAAATGCTTGCTCCCCAATCTAGGAAGGTGGGGGGTACGCGCGCAATCGAGTCCGAGGCATTTGGGGATCATATCACATGTGATCACATCATTCTGAAGGACTTGACTGAGTTTGGGTTTCATGACCAGAAGGATGGCTTCGTGATAAAAGATTTTTACACGAGCTTCCGCTACTGCTATCCCTCAGAAACGAAGACCGCTGATCAATGCCATGAGGACTTTCTCCATTTCCTTCAGGTAAAAGACGATGTTGGTATCGTCTACAGCGACAACGCACCAGAGTTGATTGCTACAACGAAGAAGTTGGGGATTCGTCGCAACACATCAAGGCAGTATGTTGATAAGAACAAGGCAGTCATCGAGCGAGAGATCCGAACTGTGTTGGAGGGTACACGGGCTAATCTGGTTCAGTCCGGGTTGCCTGAGCGATACTGGCCGCTTGCTTCAGAGCACCATTGTATGGCCCTCAACACAACTACCAGGCTGGACAACGGCAAAGTTCCCTGGCAACTAAGGTTCGGTGAGGATTTTAGTGGAATGAAAATCCCTTTTGGTGCCAAGATTCTCTTTTGGAACAACCCAAAACTCAAGGCTCCTAAGATCTCTAAGTTTTCTCCCACTGCTGCTGAGGGAATCTTCTTAGGGTACCACATTCAACCGGGATTCATTTGGAAAGAAGAGTACCTGGTTGTTCCGTTGGACAAGATTGAGGGTGCTATCGAAGCCAATGACCTGAAAATAATTCGGTCCAAGAAGGTCGAGTTGTTGCAAGGAGATTTTGTGTTGCCCCTAGCGTCGGGTTTGGAAGCTCTGGGCAACCAGAAGCCCCCTCAACTTGACGATCAGAATGCCAACGTACGTCCAGCGGGACTTGAAGCTGTTGAGGAAGCAGACCTCGCCGAGTACGCGCCGTCCGATGTCGAGGGAGAGGAAAAGGACTCACCTGAGCCAGGACCAATTGGTCCGCCTCCTCCGGAAGCTCCTAGGCCTAAAACAGGTTGGGATCCTTTCAAGATGCCGGATGGTTCCCCTGTCCCAAAGGGTTACACCTATGACGGTACTCGACTTGTTCGTAACAAACGTGGTTCTGCTAGACCTCTCGACACTCCTTCGTCTGCATGGATGATGATGTCCCAAAAGGACAGAGCTGCTGACGCAGAAAGGTACCGTAAGAAACTTGAAGCGCAAAAGGAGGCGGAGTATCAGGAGCTGAAGAAGGCTACTCCAGCTATGCCAGTGATTGAATGTCATCGGGAAAGATACGCACATCTTTGTGTTGACAAACTAGGCGAAATTGCCGATTGCATGTATGCGCTAGTAGCTAAGATCCTCCAGCAACCTGAGATTCAGCGTACACCGGATGCCAAGGCTGCTCTCGACAAGGAGTGGCAGAAATTGGTAGATAAGGGATGTTGGATTGAGAAACAGGTGCGGGAGTATGATCAAGTTGCTTCTGAGGCCCAAAAGAAGAAGTTGAAGGTTCACTTCGGTAGGGTGTTTGAGATTTGCACTTTGAAGGGGTCGGAATTGAAAGAAGGAGATCCCAATCGCAAGTACAAGGGCAGATCCGTGTTTCAGGGCAACAAGGTCTTGGACGAAAACTCGGATCATGCGTTGTTCGCTGAGCTGGGTAGTAGTCCTGCATCCATGGAGGCCGGTAAAATTATAGATGTGTACGGGTCTCAGCCCGGATTCACAAAGCAGCAGGCTGACGCACGTCAAGCGTACACACAAGCCTTGTTTGGAACGGAGACATGGGTTCGTCTTCCAAGGAATCGCTGGCCAAAGTCTTGGTCTGGCGTGAAGGACCCTGTCGCACCATTACGTCTTGCTCTGTACGGCCATCCCGACTCCGGGGGGAACTGGGAACAGCGTTGTACTAAGGAACTCACTAAGGCTGGTTTCGTCGCTGTTCTACCTGACATTTGGCCTTCGGTGTTCCATCATCCTAAATTGGACCTCCTCTTGGTTATTTACGTTGATGACTTTAATTAAGATGGCTGGCCCGGAAAAGAATATGGCAAAGGGATGGGAATTGCTTGGGGAATTCATTGACATGGACCCTGCTGAAGTACTGGGCAGATATTTTGGTTGCATGCACCATGAGGAGACTCAGATCAAGTTGCCACCGTCTGCTCATCCGTTCCACGAGGTCTTTGAGAAGGGCACTAAAGCTGCAGCTGCTACCGTCCGGCATGAAGATTATTGGGATATCGATCCTGAGAACATGTTGGCCATTGAGCATCATTGTTACCCTCGTAAGCGTTTGTATGTTCCCACCGAGGATGATGTTTCCATGTTCCCCGCTATGACTACGTCTAGGTGCGCTGTTGCCTTGAATCAGGGGGGAAAGGAAGAAACCATCGTACAGGACGATTTCAACGTATGTCCAATTGGTGGACCGGTGAGACCTACTTTGACCTGCAAGGCCGCGATCCCGGTGAGCTAAAGGTTGCTGTAGCAGCTGCCCGCAAGGGCAAGCCTATCAGGGACAAAGGCCAGGCAAAGAAAGAAGTCAAAAGCAATCGTTTTGTAGCCATCGCTGACGACCAGAAGAACAAGAGGGTAGGCTGCGTGACAAAGCCCGACAACCGTGTTACGTATGACATGGCAGACTTCCTCGAATCGTGTGTTACCAGATACTGCGAATTGGCCAAGGTATCAAGGGATACGTTAAAGCCTGTATCAACGCCCTTTCATGACCAGCGTACCGCTAGGCCCCTTGAAGAAAATGAGAAGGTCGGGCGGTTGCAACCCATTGCAAGCAAGGTCCTAATTGTTTGCAGTGCGCGTGGCTAGATGGAATTTGTTGAGGGCTACGCAATCCTTGGCATCGAGGGTAACCAAATGGAGCTGTGNNGATTGCGACATTGGATTACATCGCTTGGTAGCATACATCAATAGTACCCTGCGCGTAACCATGAATGGCTTCATCGGTGATTCTATCAATGATTGTCAACTTTGGCTATTCTGTGACAGTGACTTTGCTGGTGAGTTTGATGCCAAGTCTACCACTGGTTGTGCACTGTTTTTGGTTGGTCCAAACACGTACTATCCCCTCAACGCCTTCAGCAAGAAACAGACAAGTATCGCTATGAGCTCCACAGAGTCTGAAGTTGTAGCGGCAAACCAGGGAATCCGCGCCCAAGGCCTACCTTCGCTTAGCCTCTGGTTCTTCCTCTGGATGGGCGAAGCCGGTGGCGAGGCCGTGCCTAAAGCTGCAACTCAGCCTGGTGCAGCTGTTGCACGTATTGACCCCGAACTGGATGAAATTCGCTATGGTGGTAAAACATCGGATGGCAGGAGTGTTGCTGATATCAATGGTTTGCATGTGTCCCTTCCTGCCAAGTTCAAGGTCAGGGTTATGGAAGACAACCAAGCAACGATCACAATACTTCTCACAGGATCATCCAACACCATGCGGCGCACCGAGCGCACGCAGAAAGTATCTTTCGCATGGCTGCGGCAGCAGTTTGAGTTTGGTAACTTTCTCATGTTGAACGCTGACACTCAAGAACAAGTGGCTGACATATTTACAAAACCCTTCACTGATCGTTTAAAGTGGCAGCATGCGCTGAGGCTTATCGCGCGCAATGACGCCTTCCACACGTCTAAGGTAGCTAGGGGCAACCCTAAGCCAACAGAGAACGCCGCTACCCCGGCAAAAGAATCAACTCCGGCAAGTGAAGAGCTGGCGAATTCTCTCTTGAAGTCCAAAGACTTTACCTATGACGCGTTGGAGAAGCTTCTACAGCCCATGTTTGCAGAGGGAAAATCCACATTTCGAGCAACGCAGCGGCGTGACAAACGTTCGCATAATTTGGTATTTGGCGCTTTTGCGCATGGTCCTTTTTGTGGAATCACGAGTCGTACTTTGCTCTATCCAATATGCGTCCAGTACATCAACCAGTTTCTGGGCAAACATTTACCCAAAACTATGACTTGGAGCACCTTTGCGTTACCCCAGCAAGTGAGAACGATGACTCATACCGACGCGCGCAACCTGGCAGGTTCCACAAACTGTGCATTTTCTCTGGGTCAAAGCAAAGGCGGCGGTCTGTACATCGAGGATGAGGGAGGTAACCGCACCATCCAAACCAAGCAGGGCAAGGGCGTCAAAGTCAAGTTGCGTGATACCTGCCGCAAGCCTATTTGTTTTTCCCCGAAACAGTACCATGCAGTGCAATCATGGGCAGGGCTTCGGCTTTCAGTGGCTTGTTATACCACACGTTCTGTGTTTGACCTGAAACNNACCGAACAAAGAACCCTGCAACAATTCTGTTTTCGATTACCGAAATCGCGCCCGTCTGCGTGCTGCGCATTCCTTTCCCCTCGCAAGGAGGGGGGATTCTCCGCCAAGCCGATCACAAAATCATTGCTCAGGAAAGGCCATTTCACACAGGAGCAGGAAGGATGTGCTAGGTTGTGTTCCTGTCCTGTCCACCCTAAACCCCAAAGGGCTACCCTGTATGCCGCTCCTGCAAGCATTGATGTGACTTCCTGTGCGAAAGAGCTGTTCAAGCAAAACCTACGGGTTATAAGCCCAAACAGCCTTCATCTGTTGTCGCGATGGCGACTCCAAGCCCGACGGCAAACATTCAGGTTGTGACGGAGTATCTGAATGTGGACGCAAGAGCAAAGCCGTTGAAAGCAGTGAGGGACAAGCTTGCTTTGGAGCTTCTGTGCCACGGAGGCCTAGCTGCTGAACGCCTTGGCCTTGAAGGTGAAGAATTCTACGAAGGCATTCGGCGCCTCTACAGTCAGCTCCCGATTCAGAGTTTGTCCGCATCATCCTTCAAAGACAGAATAGTCCCTGTGCCAAACCTGGTTGCGCTGGCAGAGCTCAATGACTGGGGCCTGGGTCAGCTGAAAAACAAGGTAGCTCTCCGCAAGGAGAAAGCCTTAATCCTGGTGACCGATTCTACCTCGGCTTTGATCTACAAAGATCACGGTCAAATCATGCCGGGCGATATGTCCCGGGAGGTAGAGATGGCTGCGCAGTCCAACCACTACCGCCTCTTCAAGCACATCGCTCAGGAGGCTCGAAGACTCGTAACCGAGGTCAGTGCCAGCAACCCGGAGTGTGAGATCGATATCGTTTGCTGGTGGCTAGGCAACGAAGTGTGCGGTGATTACGGATGTCTCCCACCTCTTGAGGCAATGGGGACTGCCTGGCGCCCAAGCGCACTGAACAGTGTTGAGCATGTCACGGCTCGCGTCCGCAATGGGATTGAGATCTTGGCTGCCCTCGCGGGCATGCCTCAGGTCTCCGCCGTGTGCATCCACAGCAACCCAGCCTCGTACATCTACAACTTGCGCCCGGAGTGCAATGTTGTCATGACCCAGGCTCTGAACGAGGCAGATGCAAAAGGGCTTTCGACCATCTGCATAGACTCCCTGGCGCAGTTTTTGGTGCTCCAAGATGGCTACCACGCGCGGGACACCTATGAGAATCGAGCCCACATCTCCCGCTATTTGAGCAACACGCTCCTTCTCTTGGATCGTGAGGTGGTAGCATCTCGGCTTCGTCCCGGTGTGGACGCGCTTGTGCATCTGTTCAGACATGACGACGACTCCTTCAAGCCAAGTGAGGAGACGCAGCGCATCGGGGCAGAGATGACAGCCACCATCAAAAGAATCCAAGATGAAGAGGAAGCCCGGATTCAGGCCAGGATCAACGCACGTAGCTCCGGGCAACCGGTAGCCTCTGGCGATCTCAGGTGGGAACGGGCGGATAGGAGCATCCCCACGGCCCATTGGAAGGTCGAGCAGAGGCGTGCTGAGATCGAGAGGGACATGAAGAGGGATCTTGCCGTGGGCGACCTGGAGTTTGACGCGCCGTTCATTCTCCCCGACACCGACCTCGTCCCTGTGGAAAATAACGGGGAAACTAACTTCGTTGAATCCGAGAAACCGTCGACGAGGCACTCGACATCATCGAGGCATTGCGCGAGGTAGAGCCTGAGGCCGAGCCTGCTGCTCCCCGCGAGGGGAGTCCTCCAATTTGGACGGTGCTGGTGAGGGCGAGGATACTCATGGAGGAGATGTATGGGGCGCCGCTGCCAGAAGACGAGATCACATTGCGCGCGGCGAGGGAGACCTTCCACTTCCGTGGAGGGGAGTTCGTGCTGCGCGATATGCCGCAGGGCACCCTCAAGAAACCCCGCAAGCGCCTCTGGTTTCATCGTGGCGACCTCCTGTTTTTCACAGGGCTGGTGCGTGGAAATTTCACACGCGACTTCCCCAAAATCAAACATGACGAGGGTCTTTGGGCTAGCGTTGAGAAATGCCTCGATGTGTTCAACAAGGCCCGCAAACGTCATTGGGGAGTCCGCCAGGTGATCCAGATGGTGGCAGAAGACAAGAAAGGCCGGATGGAGATGAGGGGGATCGACATTCAGAGGAAGGACATCGTCGACCAAGCCTACTTCCCCGTGATCATCCGCGCCACCCAGGGCCACAACGCGAGCATTGCCAAGAACCCCGGCACCGACTTTGCGCTTGCCTCCTCCTACTACTCAATTTTGGACAAGACGGAGGCCAACTCGGCAGCCACCCGCGAGGGTGTGCCTGTGGTTTGTTTGGAGGATGCGCCAAAGATCCTCTACCACAGAACGACCCGAGACAGCTTCCAAAGCATTCTTCAGGGGGGATTGGTGGCGGGATCTCAGGGAAGTGGCAGAGTGCACAACTACTTCGCCACGTGTCCCGTCACGTCTGAGGAGTACAGGTCCGGTGTTTGGGCATACGCACCCATTGAGATAAAATGGGACACCGAGAAACTTCTCAGGAGCGGCTGCCTACTCTTTACCACTCGCTCCGAAGGTGTGCTCTGCCGTGAACCCTGTGCCCCGGCTGCAATCATTTCAATCATCGATACTGTCAAGGAGGAGGTGCTCTACTCCCTACATCTCGATGATGCCCCGGAGATTCCTAGTGGCTCAGCTGGATCTGAGTCGGCATCCCGCAAACCGCAGCTTCCCGCACGGGAAAGCCTATCCTCAACGGATGCGCCGATGGCAGAGCCAGATGATGAATACGTGGAAGTGGAAATTGAGCCGGAAGAGCACATGGAAGGGCCCGTGGGTGAGGTGCCACAGCCAATGACTCCCCCATCCACACACATGACCGTGGATGATGCTGCTGCTGGTGTTCATGAGGCAGCAAACCCCTTCACCATGGCAGGTCCAGCGACGTTCCCATGCCAAACGTGCCAGGCGGTATGCTTTGTGGGGCAGCATCACTGTCTTCGCTGCCGTCACCGACTTTCTGAGGCATGTGGTGAGGACCGTCGATTCATCCAGGCCGCTCAGCGCCGGAACAGAATCCTAGACCGCCTGGCAACGGTTGGGGTGTCTGTGCGCAATATTAGCCCATACGAGCTCCAGAAGTTTGGCCAAGCACAGCAAGGACGAAGAGCGTGGGCAAATGAGCTACGAAGCCCACACCATCCGCAACGCGAAGGATAAGGTGCAGCGAGCTCTCAAGATCAAAGGCACCAATTACAGGAACTTGGCGGACCGTTTTGACAAAGATCCAACCTTTGCAGCCTGGCAAGCAGAAAACGGTCTGACACGCATGGATATGCGTCGCCTCCAGGCCTATGCCACTGGCTTCTTGCCAGCACCCGGGCGCACCCGCCAGCAGGTCATCCTCGGGACTGGAAGCCAAGCCAACTTCCGCGCCTCCAAGTCCGAAGTCAATGCCAAGCTTGTCATCTATGATGGCGTTGGCCTCGAGGAGCTGCAGGCATTGGGATTGGCGGATCAGCAGATGCGCGTGAACATGGGTGTGGGCTGGCATGGCACCTTCATGGATGTTGCCACATTTGCGGGGTTGGCCCTCGGCAACGAGGATGCCCGAAAGGTTCTCACCTTCAATGGACTTGTGAATTTGCAGGCCACCAACCTCGAGTCGCTCAAAACGGAGATCAATGAGCTGACTGTGGGCAACCATGAGGCGGCCAAGGCTAAGGTCAGGTCCGACCAGCCGGCACGTGCCAAGCAGTCTGCAATTTCCAAGGCTAAGTCTAAGGCTGGCCCATCCGCTGTTCGTCCACAATGGTCTGAAGAAGACTGGAACAACCGGAATCACGGAGGTTATCACGGCCGAACATGGTACTCGGCCGCCGAATGGCGCCGGTACTGGGGCCATTAAATGCGTAGCATGACGCAGTGAGTGACCATGTATGAAGATTTCCAGCTTGCTACACTCGCCACAATAGCACACTTGAAGCCACCCGCGAGGGTATGCCCATTTCTTTTGAGTGCTAGTGTGCGCCTTTGTGCTCACGCGCACGGCGAGGGGGGTGTTTTGGCACTCCGAGTAGTTTAGCTACTTTTGAGGCTACTTATGTAAACTAAGAGCCTACTTGTTGAGGTCCTCACTCTCCATGCTTGTTGCTTAAACGCTTTGAGTTTGCCTCCGCAGTCGCC